AATTTCAGGCTATCAACCTTACAAACTTCATGAGTATTGAATAATTTACTCTAATCTGCTCTACTTAAGTAGTACTCAGATTTCAGCTACTTTAAGTTACAACTCAAATATGACTTAAGTTGCACTCTCCAAAAAAAATTTTTAAATCAGTAGGCACCATTTCTAAGTAATTATTGGAACGCTCCCTCTTCCTATGCTTACTATTCTTGGAATCTGCTGTCTAGAGAAGGGAGATAAAATTCCTAAGTGCTGAAACCACAAAGAAGCTATAGAAATATATGAGTGTGGGGAAGTGCTTACTAAATTAAGAATTTCAGAATGGGCCTTAAATTCCTGAGACTATGCCATTGAGCACAGATATAAACACTTTATACTTGTCTTTATTTTAAAATGAGCCAATTGTTTTTTTCTTGTTTAGGAAATAAAACATGAAACCTGAACTTGAAAGGAAAATAAGCAATTATACAGATCTTTGACATCTGCTTACAAGTTGTAATTTTTATAATTCCTTTTTGTGAAAATTACACCTTATATTCATTATTGTGTATAACATATGTATACACACATATATATACACACACATTTCCATTTCTTTCAGACTAGTCACAAATTAGATTTGAACTGAATGTTTATACAGCCTACTGGTTGTGTCATGGAATTATAAAACTGAAAGCTTTGCCTTTTCTAACACTACGAGCAGTTCAGAATTACCAGATTAGTAAAATTATTGTGGAGAATGAAAAGTGTTGCTTCTTTAAAGCCAAATCTACCTTTATTCTTCTATGTGTTAATGAAGTTGAAATACTTGATACTGCATAACCTTCTGCAGTATCTTTTGTCCTTTTCCCCCATGAGAAATCAGTTTCTTTGCATCAGAATAAGTCAAAAGTCCCTCTCTCTGTACATGCCACAAACAAGAAATATTAGTAGTATTATCAAAGAGTTCTTGCACATGAATACAGGTATATTTCTTAAATTGACATCAAAAATTGTCCTCCTAGAGACAGCACCTGCTATTTACAAAGATGTGAGCCAAAGGTCAAAATAAACTATTTCAGGACAGGTGTCCGGGCACTTTGTGTTACCCTGTATTTGTATCCTTTATCTTCAACACCCTATGAAGTGAGCAGGTGATGGTATCCTTGTTTAACGTACAGATGTATCCCCATTTAACATACAGATAAATTATGGCACAGAAAATTTATGCTTATCTTTCCAGGATCAGTCTGAAATTGAACCCAGTTTCTTAATAGCTGGTCTTGAAGCTTAAAATCAAGAGTAATAACCTAAAATATGTAATGATGTTAACTTAATATTAATGAATTACAGATTAGATTTAAACTTATTTCTTTACACTATAGATGTTTTGTTCCCTTATTTTTAGAATAGTAATATTCCTTCCCCTCTTTTTTCCTTTTGTAGAAAGCGAAAGGAGGATTAGTGGATAATTATATTGCTGTGATTGCAGCACCTGTGTGTTATTTTTTTATTTTTATTTTTTGATTGGCTAGTTCTGTATTAAAGAGCTAAAAGTGTCCCTCATCACATGGTTTTTATTAGCTAATTGTGGCTTCAGTTGTTTTAAATTTACAACCAAAATCTGCTTACTTCAACTTAGATTTGTACTTTAAATTTTTGTTCTGAATTTCTTTGTTTACCTTCACCTTTTTATCATCCTACCCATTTCAGTTTTTTAATTTCAATGCCAGTGGCAACATACACTCACCATATAAAACTATAGCTTAAGTTGTCCTGTTGTTGCCAGCTGTGGAGTTTGTGTGCCACTCAATGTATATGTACTAATGACTCTTCCCTAGAGAGAGGCCTTTTATGGAATAAGTGTCTAACCTATTATAATGAGATATAGGAATTAACTACTTTGGATGATTACAATTGCAGATTCTAACAGCACTGTTTGGAACTTTAATCATCTCAATCACAAAAAGCACCTCGTTGTGGACCCAGGACTGTGGTTTAAGTGCTTAGAGTTTATTATATTTCCTTAATACATGTTTTTGGAAGTAAAAAAAAAAAGGGGGGGGGAGTGGGGGAAGATGTATGTCCTGTAGATTGGGTTGGCTTGTTTTCATGTTGTTATTTATTAATTTTGCTACATCAAACTGGGAAACTTATAAAGATCATTTAGCTTTTAGAAGGTGATTTACCTTAGATATAATTATTTTACCAAGCTAACAGTGTTTCCTGTAGATGACCCCCCAAAAAGGTAACTTACCTAGTAAGTGATGAGCACTGTAGTTTTTTCATTTAAATTCAACCGTTAATGAGTGCTTCCCTTCACTGTGCCACCTAGACTTGAACTTTTAAAAATAATTTTAGAAAGCATTGTTTTCATTAATGAGATTTATTTGATTTATTGTAAATTTCTTAAATATATTTTTTATACACAATGAATATGTTATATCTGGATAATTTTAGTTTTGTACAGCTGTGTATTAGAGTTTTTTCCATTTTATAAGCTTCTTTTTATATAAGGAAGTAGAATTAGTCTGCAAAATGTATTTTAGCTAGATAATCATTTTCTTGCTTTGATGAATTTACTGCATTAGAAATATCCTCCCTGCTTTAGAAATATTAACATTTGCTTTCTTTCTGCCTAATTTTTATATAAACTCTAAATATAATAAGGTAAAATATTTCATTTATAGGCCCTCTGAAAGTTGAACATTTTTAAAAGCAGGTAGGTGTCTCCACCCTACTTTTCATGAAGCGTTTTACCCATTCAAGCAGACTTTTAAAAACAGCTTGTTTTGATAGCAGACTGTTCTCCTGTGGGCCTTCAGCCTTTGCTTCCTGGCAGCACCTTTGGTGCGAAAAGAGAGTGATCAATTGGAAGACTATCAGTGCCAGCATGCATAGAGTGATAAGTTAACACACCACTGGGAATTTCTAGGGCCCACCAAGATACTTCACTTCTAATGTGCTAACAAGCTCATTTTTCTACCTCTTGCCTCTTCAGTTATTTTTTTTCTCAGAAGAGCTTAGAAGTTGAGTGCATCAGGCATAATGAAAAGCTCTGTAGGAGGGAGAAGCAATAACCCCATTTTTCCCTTTTCAGCCAAATAGAAAATTAGTTTCTGGTAATACACAAAGGCCAGTATTTTTTGTACAAGGGGCACTGCTGTGAATCAAAGGACTCTATTAACTGCAGAAAATTCGGCAGCTGTGAATCTCCCCCAATGAAAAAAGTACTTTCCAACAAGTTGTGAGATATGTGGTATTATTTAGATTGTACCATCAGTTTCATCCTCTTCCATTTATAACCATATACCCCCTTTAAAAGTGTGCTATATTACTTGTTTATGTTAAGACTCAAAAATGTCTGTATTATCCTCATGTAAAATCCTTGATGCTGATCATTTTAATATGCATCTTGTCCTGTTGCTTCCCACCTCAGAAGTAAAATTCTTTTGAAGTTCATCCCCAGTATACAGAATGGAAAGTAATAGATTGCTAGGAATTGGGATTCAAGGTTATTTTCATATTTGATACATAAGATAAATTGTAATAGAAGCAGATAAATTGTAATATAAAAGCCACTTAGCAAAAGATACCACAATCAAAGTCCAAGTGCATAATGAATATAGTCTTGCCTTTAACTCTTATACTTTTTTTTTTCTCTTCTTAGTAAACTTGTAAATATAATTAACTGGCCGTGGTATCTCCCATTGGATTATTTAAAATTATCTTCCTCTCAAATTATTTTTTGGGTCTTGTAGGCTTAGTCTACAATTTCTAGAATTTTAAAACTATATAATAATTAAATAGCAATTTTTAAAAATAAGGAATTTTGAGGGGAAATATTAAAGTGGACTTTGGGGAAAAATTCAGTGGAAAAAAAGAAGAACTGGTAGACAAATCTTTATTATCCTTATTTAAATGTCTTATGTAAAGCCTGTCAACATAGCACACTGAGTACCACAGGGAAACTTTTAAAAGTTTTAAAAGAAAGGTTAACTGATTTCTCAGTTCAGGAACTATACGACATGAAGTCAGCATGTGAGTTTTTCCTGATAATTGTATGTTGCTGCCTGCTGCTCTACATTTTGACAGCCATTTCCATAGTTGCTTTCGTGAACAACAGAAATATTCTCTCTCTTTCTCGCCCTCTCTGTGCTAACAGCACAATCAGGCCTGCTGAAACAGGAAGCCTGGAGTGGGTTGTTCAAAAGCAACAACACTTCAAGGTACTGGTTGCTTGTCAATAATATCAGAGAAGAAAATGTGGTGAAAGGGAACTACAGTATTTTTCCGTCAGTGTCAGTGCCCTGGAGATGCTTTGTTAGACAGTATTTAGGAGTCCTGTGGACTCTTTGCAAATATTCCTGCTTGTTTCAGTGTTATAATTGACTAGGTATTTTTTCCCAGCATACAGATTCAGCTATGTATTTATCTTAACCACATGGAGTTATTCGAGGATTACAGCAACAGTAGTCTTCCATTCAAAATGAGAACTATTGTTGAGAAAATGCAGGGATTTTAGAAAAAGAAGAAGATATGTAGGAATTTTTCACAATAAATCTTTACAAATGAAAAACAGAATTTTGGACATAGTATCTTAAGCAACATTACAATGTTTATTGCGTGGCTTTTGAGAGTAAATCTGCAGATGTGATTAATAAGATAAGATGAGCCTAGGCTGATAGAAATTTCAGCCTAGACTCCTGATAGAAATTGAATCCTTTCTCAAGTAAACTGTTAATTTCCTTCATTTCAGCAGTTTAGTATTATTGTAATTATTATCTAATAAATGTCTCCTTGTTAAGCTGTCATTCATAGTGGGATCATGAAGAGTAAACGTACATTAAAAACTGTATTTTTGCACTTCAAAAAGCCATACTGTTAATGATACGTAAGAAATATTAGTGAATAATTCTATTTATTAAGAGGTAATGGCTTAGCAATCATAGCAGTCCTTTTTGATAAGATTTTTTTTCCAGTATAAGCTGCACTTAAGTTTATCCTTAACCAAAGGAAATCAGCTATGAGGAGAGAGCACGGTACCTGCAAACAATTGTCCAGCACCACTTAGAACCAACAACATTTGAAGATTTTGCAGCACAGGTTTTTTCTCCAGCTCCCTACCACCATTTACCATCTGATGCCGGTAAGATTAAAAGCAAGTATTAGTTACTTGTTATTGGAACTTGAAATGCAGTACCCTTTTGTTCTAAAAACTTGCTTGAAAAAAATTCTAATCATTGAAATATGAATTTTGTATCACTATTTAATATTTGAATTTGGCCTATAAATTTGATTTATGGTTTCTTTTACCTAAATGCAGTTCCTTAAAAGGTCAACAAACTTCATAAAAGTACATGTACCACATTTTATATGAGCTGATATTCAATGACTCTTGCATCTTCTGGAATCATTTCTGAAGTATCTGCAAAAGAAATACAAGTTAAGCATGCACTCTGAACTTTAGAGGATCAAATTTTATGGCCAAAAATATCACCCTATCATCTCTGATTTTACAGATAAAGCTAAAATAACTGGTCTAGATTTAGAAGTATTTGATATTGTAATTCATGTTATAATAATTAAAGATTGTAAGAGGGTACTGCATTTTACGATAATTTTGAAGAAATCAGTAAGAAAATAAATGACTCGTGGCCTTCCTATTCTGTAATATCTTGCACTCCTTATGATTGTTTCATTTATTTTCCCTCTTTAGATCATTAAATATCAGTTCTGTTTATCTGAAGGTAAGACAAAGTGTCAACCAAAACACCCTCTGTTCTTCTCCCATTTCCTTTTTTCAAAATTAGCAAGCTCTAAGCTTGTAACTTAAACAATAAATAAACTTAACACTGTCCAGTTCATACTAAACATTTCAGAAATTGTCACTAAATTTTTTCCAGTCTTATACTGACTAACCCAGGTCTGCATGAAACACTAACTTGGTTTGGGGATAAAAATAACTAATAATAGAATCCCTTGGTTGAAATTAGTTACACCTTGTTATATTGACCTTTTTTTTTTCTGTTTCTCAGCATGAAAAAGTAGTACTATTGAACTGAAGTAGTGTGTCTTTGTATTTTGTGATGTGTTGCATTGTTATGGGATATCCTAACTCATCAAATGATAACTCTCTGTGTGCCTTGCACTTCACTAGGCACCTGAAATACAAAGATGACTGTTGTAATGGTATTCAAGGAAAGCAGGAAAAGAGAACATAATATGCTTGAAGTTTATCATAATAAACCTTCAAATTCTCTTTATATTAAATAAATTTTCTTTATATTAAATAAATTCAAAAGGCACAACACCTCTAGCCTAATTTATTTGGAAAAAAGTTACTGTAATTCTCAATTGAGATTTAGTTAGTGAAATTAAAGCTTCCATTCCTGTCATCATTAAATTGCCATTAGAAAAATAATTTTACAAAAAAATTTAGATCCCTTTCAGGTAGTATAAAAGACCTATAGCAAAGAGAAAATCGTATTAGACCAGGTTGAATCCTTTGAAAGAGATAAAAAGTCTAAGATTCACTTTAATGGATTGACACTATTCAAAATTACTCAGTTTGGCATTAAAAAAGATGGTAAAAGAGAAATATTAAAAATTAATGAACAGCAAAATAACTAAGTATATCTGGCAGTTTTATTCTTTAATAATGGAGAATGTCTGATAAAATGTCAGACTATATTAAAAGAGATATAAATAACACTTGTGTATCATATAGTCAAGCTATAAATTTCACAAGTGGAAAATATTGATAATAGAACCACACTTGGGCTAACTTTCCCCCTTAAATTGATAAAGACTGTTCAGTTCTCATGTGTCGTCGTTTACCAGCTGTACTCTTTCGTATTTGTCATCTTAATGTTCTCCCCATATTTTGCATGTTATCCTGCACATTTGGCCAGGTATTATGGAAGTGAGTAGTGTTCTCACTTCTGAGACATTAAAGGATGCTATAGCAGCCAAGTCAAGGTTCTGTTGGCTTCATTTTTAATGTGTCTTACAAAATTATTGTGTAAGTTGTTTAAAATAACACTTATGATTGTCTAAATAGTAGTAAAAATGTGAATTTGAACATGAACCTAATATTATGGTACAAATTTTTTTCAGTTAATTTTTAAGAGTTGTCACTGCATTTAAGAACCATTCTCTAATTTTAATATGCACTCTAATTTTCAAAAGGATGTTTTTGCTTGTAAATAACTTGTGCCAGTATTACTGAATACATTTCTATATAAGTTTTTGCAGACTTTAATAGTTATGACAGAAATTTTTATCAGAGTGGTTCTCAGTTCAACACAAAATAAAAATGAAATATTTATTCTTACAGTAGCAAAAACATAGAATCTGAAAAATAATTTTTTTCCAGTTATCTCAAATCTAAATTTTTCTGTCATAAATCCTATACATAGAGAGCTCCCTTTAAAGTTATATGTCAAAGTGGACAGAGAAGACATAAAATGAGCTGCATAATAGCAGTTTGGACCTGACTGCTGGTTTGCAAAAATGACATAATAGTGTAAAGTTTTTAATCTTTTTTCTAGCATAAGTATAAAATGTGTTCACCACATTGAGGAAATGGATTCATAATTGCAATTGAAAATCAACTTTAGATATCCAGTGCACACCCTGTGTATATAAAATAGTAGTAATCAATACTAATGTAGTCATTTGAAATTAAGTTTTAAAGAAATGCCAGAATAGTGATTATATTCTGTCTAACCAACCCTGTAACATAATTATATTCAGTGGAATAGTATAGAAAAATAATATTTTTCTAAGATTTCTTAATTTGGTTCAAGATTATCTAAAACCCACTTTCTGGTTAGCGGTAACGTGCATATCAACTGTGGTGACATTTAAATCCGAGAAAACATTTTTCCGTGTTACTTTCAGTATTATTAAAATAGATACGAAAGATTTTGGTGCATCATAGTTGATCCATAAATTTCATAACTGTATTTTCTCAAAATGTACTGTCTGTGGCAGTAGACTGATACTTAAGGGAAATTATTTTTATCCCTAAGGTCATTGAGGGAAATATCGTGATGTCACACTTTGTTGATCTTTCATAACTACGTTAAAATATTATTAGATTTTTCTTGTCTTTTATTTTTAAAAAATTACAGGAAAAAAATCCCTTTATCTTTGTCAGGCGTGTGTGTGGAAAATATCAAAAGTTTTTAGTGACTTCTTAAAGTTTTTTCATATTTACAAACACCTCTCCTTTAATTATAAACTTTAAAATGAAATTACTGCTCTACTTGGCCAGATTACACTGTTTGTTCAATATGTACTTGTGTCTCCCAATGTTACATTGTCTTTTCAACGTCATCTTTTTTTATTTTGTAATAAGAGAAATTCTAGAATGTCAACAAGAAACAGGATCCTGTTTTGCTGAAAGTGCACAGTAAATATTAATTGGTTTAACTTTCTCAATTTCAACATTAAAAATATACTCATAATTTTTTGGAGTATTATGTCTTTACGTTACAGATTTTAGCTGTTTAACAACTAAAAAGGGTTGATAGGTGTTTCTCTCTGTCTTCATATATACATAGATATACATTCACAAACATATCTATAAATACATAACACTTTTTATAATTACTTTTGGAGAATATAGGCGTTCCTATTTAAAGGAATATTATAAAATTAATAAAATTCAAATATAATTTTTATGACACCAAATTCAGAGATAATCCACAGCGACTCTGAAAACCTAGAGTAGTATGTAGTCTGCCTTCTAACCTCAGTTGTGCTGTTAATTTGCAAAATCTATCTTCTCATATGTAGATAGGATGGGATTTATGATGGTCAGATCTATTTCTTTGAATCTTTGAGTGGGATGGATCATCAAAATTTAGCCATTGCTTTAGATAACCTCTTTTAGCTCAATGTCCTTCTTTAAAAGTTATTTAAACTACTCAGGCTTTGAAATGTTCTGAAATAAAATACTTTAGCTCCTTAGAAGATAGTTATTTTATAAGTATCTTAAATATTAGTAAGTGCCAACAGAAGAATTAGTTTCCTGCAATATATAACATAAGCTATAAATTTGTTTATTTAATAATTTGGTTTTTGTTTTCGTTTTTGTTTTTTTGAGACAGAGGCTGGAGTGCAGTGGCACAGTCTTGGCTCACTGCAACCTCCGCTTCCTGGGTTCAAGCAATTCTCCTGCCTCAGCCTCCCAAGTAGCTGGGATTACAGGCACACGCCACCACTCCTGGCTGATTTTTTTATTTTTGGTAAAGACGAGATTTCACCATGTTGGCCAGGCTGGTCTCAAACTCCTGACCTCAGGTGATCCACCCACCTCAGCCTCCCAAATTGCTGGGATTACAGGTGTGAGCCACCATGCCTGGCTAGTTAATGTTTTTAAAAACAGATTCCTACTCATATTAATTTATCATTAGATTAGCCTGAAATTATAGGCAGCCAGATATGTTCTGTTTGATACTTTGAACTTGGAAATTTGGCTTATATGTTGTTGACCAAGAGGCAAGTAATAATCTTAAATAGGACCCACTAACCTTTTGTGATGACTGCTGGTTCAGTTTCCACATAGAACATTCATTCAGATGTGAAATTTTTGTAATGAAAATAATAAAATAATAATTGTGCTATTACTGAGTGCCAGACACTGTGCTCGGTACTGTACATACATTCTCTCATTTAATCTTCATTGCAGTTCTATGAAATTTAAAAGAAAAAAATGCTCACCCAGAGTCACCTGGTACTTTGTCAAGCTAGTATTTCAACTTAGACTGATGTGACTTCAGAGGGCATGATCTCAACTATTACAGTTACCCATTTAGTCTAAATATTTTCATCCCCTTCCTGCTGTTGATTGAGAGAAAGAGAGATATTGCCCAATAACCTGTCATATTTACAAATTATAAATTGCTAAAGATTTTTATTTTGAGGGTTTCATTTTCCCACCCATTGAAAAATCTTTTTTTTTTCCATGTATCTTCAAGGTTGCCAGGGGGGAAGTATGAGCTTTGGAATCAAACTAATCTGGATTTAATTCCTAGTTCTGCCAGTTGTTATCTATACAAATGCAAATTAATCAACTCTTCCAATTTTTTCATTTCCAAAATTTTCATTTACAAATTTTGTCATTTGTAAAATATGACAAGCTTGACGTGATTTATTCTAAATCTAAAATACTAGTAGTTCTTGAATGTTATCTTAAAATGAAACCACATGTTTCCCTTTATTTCTCTACTATTTTAAATTGTTATTTCCCGGCCAGGCATGGTGGCTCACGCTTGTAATCCCAACATTTTGGGAGGCTGAGGCAGGCAGATCACTTGAGGCCAAGGGTTCAAGACCAGCCTGGCCAACATGGCAAAACCCTTCTCTACTAAAAACATAAAAATTAACTGGGCATGGTGGCACACGCCTGTAATCCCAGCTACTCAGGAGGCTAAGGCAGGAGAATCACTTGAACCCAGGAGGCAGAGACTACAGTGAGCTGAAATCATGCCACTGCACTCCAGCCCGGGTAACAGAGTGAAACTCCCTCTCAAAATAAATAAATAAAAATAAAAAAGAAATTGTGTTATTTCCTTTACGATATTCAGTGCCATCCATGCGAGTCTTAACAACTTATCAACTCCTTTAAAAATATTAAAAGCAAGGTTATTTGGGTAGCCTTTAACCTTTACTATAAGGTTGTATTTTATAGAACTATCAACATAAGAGAGAATAAATTTCCCTCAAACTAAATTTAATGGTGTATTGTGCTTTTCACATTTGAACAATAATATTTTGTATAGGTGGTCATTTTCTTCAAAAATATTCCTCATTTCTATCCCTTTCTTTCTAATCCTCATCTGTTCTGATTCAAAATGTATCAGCTTTTATTTTTCTGTTTAATAGCCTTATTATGTAGCTATACTTACTGTGCACCTACTATGTGCCAGTATCTTTGCAGATGTAATCTTAATCCCTGTGACGACTTGACAAAATAGCAAGTATTATCTCCATTTTACGAATACAAAAATGTCTCAAGTCAGTTTGCCCAAGATCAAACAGATGGTAAAGTGACAGAGTCAGCATTTAATCTAGGACTGTCTAACCTATGCCCATGTTCTTTCTAATACATCACATTGTCGCTGGAGTTCAGTATTAATTGAAATTGCTTTTAAAGATACAATATTTTATAGGGCTATATTTGCCCAATAATTAGCAGCTTTAAAGCAGTCATACCTGTCATCAAACAGTACAAACGAAACCACAATTAAAAACGATCTTTCAAGCTCCCTCTTATAATCCCTATAGATCCCAAAAGTCATATTTATTATGTTAATTGTAATAATAGTTTATTGTAATCAATGTGCAATATATTAATCAATTTATCTCATCAGATTACACAGTCTGTGTGAGCACTGTAAGAATGTTAGTAACAGATACAGTATGCACAAACATAGGAGCTCATGTGTACTCTTAAAACCTTATCCTTGAGGATATATTAATAATAGAAATAAGTCAGAATTCTTTATGACTCAGGTAGTATAAGTCAACAGGTAGACTATGATGTGAAATGAAATGTAGGTTGTTACTACATTTTTTACATCTAAAATTGAAGTCTTTCCATCGTAAATTATTTATGGAGTTTGGGAATGTTGAATATATACCACAAATATAATTTGCTAAATTGTTAGGAAGTACTGATAACTATACACCACACACACTAAAAATCCTAATTTGATTCAATTGAGTGAAGGAAGATTTCACTTTGAAGGCAGTGAGGAAGACATGGAAGAATTGTTTTTGAGGAAAACATTCTTTGAGTTTGTCATAATGTAGAGCAGTGCTCTCTCTGATAAAACCTTCTATGGTGATGGAAATGTTCTATATCTGCACTGTCTAATGTGAAAGCTGCTAACTACATGTGGCTATTGAACACTTGAAATGTGGCTAATGTACTGAGGAACTGAATTTTTATTTAATTCATTTTAATTCAATAAATTTAAACTTAATGTGGCTGTGGCTACCATATTGGACAACGCAGCTCTAGAGATTTTATGTCTGAGTGATTAGGATAACATGCCACCAGTACAGTGAACACTTTAAGAAGTAGATATTTACAGAATCTCTCATAGACCTTTTTTCTTCTTTTCTTTTTTCCTATTTGAACTTGTTTTGTTAGTTGGTAAGTATAACATTTGAATTTACAAAGCATTGTCATTGTGAACCATCATCCTAACTCATTGCATGCCCAATTATATTTCATAATAAACACCTTTATTCCTCTCTCTCTGCTCCTCAGTTAACACCTATAAAATTCTGCACTTGTGTCTCTCATATCTGTTATCTATCTTCTCTTTTGCTCTCTCACTTCTGCTTGCTACTCCATTTCTTCATTCACAACAAAGAAAGAAATGCAGTGATAGTTCTCTTCCTCCCAAAACCTCCGCTAGAAAACATTGGCCATCTCAAGGTAAACAGCAGTGGGAGGGCCTCTCATGATGGCCGGGAATGATATGCATTACCAGAAAAGCATGAGCTACTACTGCTCTTCACTTTCCTTCTGCCATCCATCTGCCGTGCTTCCCTAAAGGGGGCCATGGATTCATATTCTCCCATAAATTTTCCAGTATGGGTCTGCTATGAACCAATTCAGATCTTCAGGAAGAGTAAAGGTGAACAGAAATATGTTTCCTTCTCCTTGTATTTTGAAGGCCAGTCTTATTTCAATTAGAAAATAATGCTGGAAAAGTTACTTTGAGAAGAAGGGCAATTGACCTAGATTATGAGTGACAGAATATTTTTCCTTGGAAACATATTTTTTCTTAAGTATAACTCTAACTTTTGGTCTTAAGAACATTTTGAAGGCCGGGTGTGGTGGCTCATGCTTGTAATCCCAGCACTTTGGGAGGCCCAGGCAGGCGGATCACGAGGTCAGGAGATTGAGACCATCCTGGCCAACATGGTGAAACCCCATCTCTACTAAAATACAAAAAAATTAGCCGGGCGTGGTGGTCCACACCTATAGTCCCAGCTACTCAGGAGGCTGAGGCAGGGGAATCACTTGACCCTGGGAGGCGGAGATTGCAGTGAGCCAAGATTGCACCACGGCACTGCAGTCTGGCAACAGAGTGAGACTCCCGTCTTAAAAAAAAAAAAAAAAAAAAAAAATTGAAGTATTCTACAAAGACATATTCTCAATTGCTTAAGACATCTCAATAGGATCTTCACCCCTTATTGAACTTTTTGTTTTTCTTTATAAACATCAGTAACTTCAGTTTAAGCACAAACATTTCATATATATGAAAGTGCTAGCCTATTTCCTAGTTTGAAGTATCAATGAGGTGCTACATTTGCTAACAAATATGCCAAAAGTCTCCCTGTAAAGTAAGGACATGTATGTATACAGTTAAACTTGCAACCTGTGTGGTGTTTTTGTTTGTAAAACACATAAAGAAAATTTTCATGTACTTAAGACCCATAAAATCTGGATTAAAATGCCTTAAAATATCCAGAATTTCTTGTTCTTACTCTGTTTTCAGATTTTTTTTTCTGAAGGACTTTTATTTTTAATGTGATTTTAATCAATTACTCATTTTGTTTAGGAAATATTTGAGAGCCTACAATGTGCAAGGTTCTGTAGTATTGCTGCATATTAGAGAATAATAATTTATAGAAATAAAGTACAGAGATGAAAAACTACTTTATAAATGACACTAAGAACTTTCCTATTTGATTTTGTTTTACTTCTAAAATTGTGTATCTACTAATTCTACTGGTTACCTGCTTGCTGATGATTGAATAAGATACCTGCAAAAGTTTTTAAGTTAATGAAAACAAAAGCATTGTTTATCTCTTTTACATTAAGACATCTTGGGGGAGTCAGTTTGCCTTTTTTTAACTGACATTCAGATGAGAATTCTTGTCCTCCCCTCATACACAAATTTATCTTGCTCCTTCTTAAAGCCGTATTTAAATACCTAGCATGTATATGATCTTATATTGCTGAGTTCCTTTTTTTGTTTTGTTTTGTTTATAAGGGCATCTAGTGAAACTGACATCCGTTTTGAAACCCGTGGTTCCAAAAGTGTTTGGAACTGTTTGGTGCTGTTTTTCAAGTTTGAGTAGTGAAGGCCCTTTTCTTGGTTGTACCCTGAATCCTAGAGATAGGAATTGGTCCTTCTCACCTGCTTCTTGACCCCTTCCCTGCATGCTAATAGTGCTTTGGATCCTTGTTCTTTCTGGCTCAAAGATTTTGCTTCCCACTGCTTTTTCCAGGGTTCTAGCCCTGGGAATGATGATTGGCGCTTTGTTGCTAATATAATGACATGAGCCAGCAGATTGCTGGGTTTTAAATACATTAGTAGACTATTGTAACAAGCAAGTTTGGGGCTTGCTTTTTCCCTCAAAAGACCTTATTAAGGGATGGGATCCTTGCTGCAGATTAGTAGCAGAAAGATTACTTCTCAGGGGATGAGAGTCTGGATAACTGTAGTAATGCTCTTGCTGTTTCCTACAGGCTCCTACCCAGAGATTCTACCCAGTGAAACTCCCACAGCAACGCAGGTAGATGGGGCTGACCTGGCCTCTCCAATGTCTCCTCGAACTAGCAAAAGCCGCATGTCCATGAAGTTGCGTCGTTCCTCTGGCTCAGCCAATAAATCCTAAGGAGACAGCCCAACAGTGATCAGCAGTAGCCACCTTAGCACGAACATAGGGTTAACCCTTTCAGTCCTTTGTGTCTGCCATAACATGCATGTTTCTTCCTGTACATTTATTTGAGAAAACACTGGATTTAAATAATTTTAAATAATTTGTAGCTTAATATTAAAGATTTGGGTTATTTATTGTTTCATTTTTTTCCCACAGTCCAAGCTGCCATATTTTGAGGGCAGGGGGGAGTTTTATTCTACAACCTTTACCTTCCTAGATAATTATGTCTAAGTAGTTTTATCTTTAATTTCATGGTTAACTTTGAGCCAAAATACAATTGGACAACTAGTCTCATTATTTATTGTGCCCCATTGCAACTTTATGGTTCAATAAATATATAATTTTTTACAAATGTAAAATTTTAAATTTAAGCATTTGTAAAGTTACAGCAAAAGATGTACCTGTTAATACACAGAATGTGTACAGATTATTTATGTTATGACAATAAAACACTCAAAATAAATGGTCTTTAGCATCTCAAATTCCAACTGAAATCATTTTAGTGTTAACTTTTCTTCCCAAAGCAATGTCTCATTTCTTGGCTGTGCAGGTGATGCCATGTTGTATCCAATAACTAGAAAAATCACTGTGCTGAACTTTGATTTATGTTTAGCTTCCAAGTATTTTTCTAATGTTTTGCATTTCAAGTGGTATCACTGTTAAATGCCATTTGTTTTCAGATTGTGGCCTTTTATTATTGGCTGCTAGATCCTGGTGTATCTATGTTCTTTTTTAAGCACCAAAAAGAAGATAGGGAAGAAAAGAAGGAAAATTTTCTGATGTAAGTATGTTGTTCAAATTATGAGTATTATTTTTAAAAAAGGAAAAAGGAACGTGACCCAGGAGTCTAAGTTAAATCTAATATTGTTAATACTGAACTTGCAGGTGCAGGTTGGTATACATTCCACCCTCTAGAAGTATTTTCTTACAGTAGATAAGCTGCTCACATTTTATTTTGAATGGGCATCTCCTGAGGAAATGTAGCATGACATTGGTACTAACTGCATGTGTAAATACATCATACTGGCAAACCATAAAATATAAATTATGTATCATCATTCATGTAGTATCTATAATTTGTAACAGTGGGGGAAAAAGGTGACATGGTATTTAATAATACAATAAAAATATTCTTATCACTTCCTATCCATGAGTATTGATGTGTCTTCTATGTTTCATATATTTTCAATAAGTAGGGCTATATGAAGTGAGGAGATTTAAAGCATGAACCTAGATTATCTTAGCTAATCATGAAAAATGAACTTGAATTCCCTTTTCAAGATACATTCCAACTTATTTCTCAGTGATCCTACCACAGTCATTAAAAACACAGGAAATTTTACATCTTCATAAAGGCTGGCCAGAAACTTCACCCAATGCGGTTGGTTAGATTGTTAGTTTATCTCAGCTTCATGTTTTTGTTTTTTGAGACGGAGTCGTGCTCTGTCACCCAGGCTGGAGTGCAGCGGAGTGATCTCGGTTCACTGCAACCTCCACCTCCCAAGTTCAAGCAGTTCTTCTACCTCAGCCTCCCGAATAGCTGGAACTATAGGCGTGTGCCACAATGCCTAGCTAATTTTTTGTTTTTT